TACGAACCCTTTGTACGAACAAAAGTAAGAGAAATTTAGGAGAAGAATACGAACACGTCCTTGCATGAGGCCCAATGTTTCTCTTATCTAATCTTTTCACCATTATTCCATTCTCTCTTTGAGAGGGGCGGGTTTAGGATTTTTTTCTGGGGGTTGCCAGATAGGGGCACAGACCACAGAAGGGTGGAACAGAATGTCACGTTATATGTGTTTATGTATGAAATAGTTACTAACTAATAATAGTTAATAATGAAAATAGTTCATAACTAAGGAACATTTTTTTGCAAAAGTCCAACTTTATTATCAAATATAAATACAAATATATGAAAAAAAAACTAAATGCTCTCTGGTATTGTTCTGGGGGCCGGACCAAATGGGGAGGCAGGCCGCATTCGGCCCGCGGGCCGTAGTTTGGGGACCACTGAGTTACAACAWTGGACGTTCCCGCGCTTCGACGCAGTCACCAGGGCCCCCCTCTGGAGGTGGGGCATGCTGGCGAGCGCCTGGTGGTCAGGCTTTTGCTCATGGAGCCCGGCTGGGCACAGCCCGAAGAGGAGATGTGGGTTCCCCTTCCCATGGGCCCACCACCTGTGGGAGGGGCCGTAGGGTCGGGAGCAGTTTGTGATGGGCAGTGGTTGAAGGTGAGGACCCTGGTGGTCTGATCCTCGGCTACAGAAGCTTGTTGACATCCTTTAATTAAACTGTAAGAAAAAAATGTTTCTGCACTGTTAAATGCACAACCCCTCTGTGAAACCGGAGTGGACTGGTCTGGAAGCTGGAGGGGGCGGAGCTTGAGGTGTCTTAACAAACCCAGCTATTTAAACTGTAATCTCATCAACGTTACTACATTCGTTGTTTGAGCTGAATTGTTTTTTTAGTCGTATACTGAATACTCACAAATATCTTTAGTTTAAACTTTGGTCCAAACATTCGTTTCAATTTACTTCAAATTATTTGCTTTGAATCAAACAGAAAAAAAAGTGTTTAAACCAGAAACTATAATTTTGAATTAGTTGAATATAAAACAATACTTTAAGAAAGTGATTGTACTTTTTTTTAGTGAGGACAGGTCACAAGTCGAACAGAGAATGTTGGAGAACTTTAAAGTCAAGCTTAAAAATGCATCTTTAAACTGTTTCACATCAGTGTTTGGACAGTGAATAGCTTGATGCATGAATGGATGAACAACCCCACCCCCTTAGCAAATTTGAAAAAAATAATACAACCTTTTTAAAATTTGTATAGACTTTTTGGGAGTGTCAAAATAAATAAAGTTGCCAGAAGAACAACAAAGTTTTTAGATGAGCTACAAATAACTCTGTTCTAAAATACACTAAAGTTAATAAAATGTGGATGTTTTCATTTCTACAGTGAAGTAAAAAAAAATAAAACGAACTGTAAAAATTTGAAACGCCTTCTGAAATAATTAGTTTATTAACAACTTGAAAACAGAAGGATTGTTTGTGATGTTTTTCCTCAAGTTAAACTCTCGCGAGACCAKTGGCTGCAATCAACGTGACTTTGACAAAGTCTCGCGAGGGCAGCGGTTACCTGGTTACCACCATCGACATTGAGTTGTGGAGGAGAAGCCAGCAGTTCTCCGGATGTTTATGAAGCTATSTAAAGTACTGTGATGGAGGTGAGTACAGTGTGTACTCAGTATTTACTCAGCACGTTCAGGTGTTTGTTGTTTCTGCAGCTCAGTTGTTTCACTTGTTGAAGTTTAAAGCCGGTGTTGTAGCAAAAACTGAGCAGCCGCCGCGGGAGCGCGCACAGCCTGCTTGATTAGTTGTTGAAATTTAACAAAAATATAAACAGTAAAATATTTGTTTGGTTTGATTTGTTCTTATTTGATCAAATATGTTAAATTGTCTTTGTTTTCCCCCCTCACCGTCTCAGCACTCAGAAAGGCTGTGCGCTCTGCCGTGACTGCTGCATCCATGTTTAAATATTATTTGTAGAAAAAGTTTATTTTGTCAATAGATTTCATGTCCTGTAACTCTGTAAGCATTAAAATTGTTGAATTGTTTTTTTCCTAATTGAACAATGAAGACACACCTGTTTTACTTGATCTCTCTCTTTAAAAAAATAGATTTTATAACATATGTGAATTTCCAAGCTGTAATAAAAAAGGCTGCTCTGTTTATGCAGCTGAAATTAAATGCAGGATAAATTCCCTCCTGAGGRTATTTATTAATATGTTTTGATCTCTTACATGAGAGTTAGCAGTGTTGTATTAAGTACCATAAAGTGATATTACTTGGGTAAACGTTCAAGTCTCCTCTAAGAATAGTACTTGAGTAAAAGTCTTAAAGTATATAATATATTTTGTACTTATGTATCAAAAGTAAATGTCTGACATAAAATGTACTTACAGTAAGTATTAAAAGTAAAAGTACTGAGTAAAAATGAGTGGCTAGACTTCCCAAAAATGACTGACTGGGAGGTGATACCCTCAAAAAACATTTTTCTAAAGGTCAAAATGATTATATTGTCAAAATGTTCATGTTAAAAAATTAGGATGCTCTAGTCTACCTGTTTCAGCATATAATACAGCGGGTAAAATAAGTATTGAACACGTCACCATTTTTCTCTGTAAATATATTAC